GGAAAAATTGCCAACTAAAAAAGATGGCGCGCCGAATTGGCCTCGGTTCCTGCACGGTAATTCAAATCCTCGTCACTGTTCCCCACCTTTTTAGCAAATGGTTCACATTCAACGGCGCTTTTCAGAATTCGAATTTTTTTTGAATTTCCTAGCAATAATGTTAGGAAAACACATAATAAAATTTTTATGAAATAAAGTATTGATGCCCGAACTAACAAAAAACGCTGTTTCACAAGCTTTACAAATTACTAAAAAACTTTTGGGAGCAGTGTTTCGTCATACTCCGAAAAAAATTAGATCTTTGGAAGAAAAACAGTAATGACCATTGGCAAAAAAATCCTAAAAATATTTTTGTAGTCTTCGTTCTGAGACCTTCGGCTACGGCCATCCGAGTTCCTCTTCCATTGCCCTCAATTTCCTGATACCGGTACAATATAGGCCGTTGTTTCCTAGGTTTCATCCCAACTATTTTTCTAACGACAAAGAACCGAATCTTTCTAGATTCAAAAATGTGTCAGAACAGAAATCATTTTATTTCCCAAAAGACTCGAATATCTTATTCAAGATACCGATGACATCAACCACATCTTCTCCTCTCATCTCCTTCTTCTCAGCTTCTTCCCTTTCCCAATTCTCGTTGACCCATTACTCTTTTATTTTTTCTATCCATTCAGTTCCTCCCGTCTTAACGAGCTTCGAATTTCGCAAAAGAAAAAGATTCGTCGCCTCTTTTTTTTGTCGTTTCAAGATCAATAATGTAGACGTTTTTGCTCCGTCTCATTGTTCAAGAGAAGGATTTTTAAAAGGACGAGACTCAGAATAATTTAGAATCTGCACTAGGCAACGTGTCTGTTTTAAACCCTTCCTAGAGACTCCTATTTTTCTAATTATAGCATAGACACCTTCTCTTCAGAAGAATCAAGTTTCAATAAATGACCTCTCAATCATGGTCTCTCGTCGCCAGTGACGCGAACTTTCAGACATCGAAGAGCATTTTTAGAACTATAATTACTCGAGAGATATTCGGAACAATCTTAGATACGTCAATTTTAAGTCACATCATAGTCTGTTCGCTCCTTGTATAAAAGATTTTAAGACTTTCAGAGATTCGACAGCTTCAATTTTTACATAAAGAGGTACTTCAGAAGTCTGCGCTAAAAAGCTGACACCGTGACATTTTGAGAAAGGTTGGGAATCTCAGGTTTCGATTATGATAACGGTTTTCAACCTATATCATTACGAATTTATTTATTTGAATTCTCTCACAAATTGTTCCCATTAAACTCCAAATTTTCTGTTTCAGTGAAAAAACGTACATTGACAAATAGTTTTTTTCTCCATTACTGGACAGAAATGCACATTTTTGAAATATGTAATTTTGATAGAAATGCATAGCAGTCTAAATGCGTTTCAAAAATAACTATTAATCATTTTTTTCAAATTATTCCGTTTCAATGATGAGATTCAGAAAGTTCAATATAGTTTTCGCCGATTGAAGCTTTTCTTCTATGAGCCTTACTGTCACTGTGAATCACACTTTCCCATTGAAAACAATTTTGTCCGAAGTCGTTGTTTTTCTTTAATTTCTAAAAATTTTAACATTTTGTTTTACCAATTAGCTTGAAAATCATGCGATGTTATTCTCTCCAAACTGTCCAAAATTTACAGAGATATTGATATCATTCCCTAGATAATTTCCTAGGTGAACAAATTTCAGAGATAAAAGATTCTGAGACTTCCAAAGATTCTATAGCTGAATTTTTCATATGAAGAGATACTTGAGACAATGTCAAGTTTGTGCAAAAACTCTGAAGGCGTGAGAAAAGTTTCTTCTGTGAGCCGAAATATGAGTAGCGTTTAGTTGAGATTCCGAGGATGAACATTTTGTGGAAACTTGGGAATCACAAGTTTCGAATGTGATAAGTGTTTTTCAAACTACTGTATTTCGAAATCTTCTTTTTGAGATGGCTCACAAAATGTTTCTATTGAATTCAAAAATTTCAGTTTCAGTAAAAAGACATACGTTTACAAACATATTTTTTATTAGGGGACATAGGTATACTTGTCAGATGTAACTTTGGTATGAGTGCATAGCAATTCGAATGTCTTTCATCATCCATGAGCCAAGATTTGAGTAGCGTTTATTTGAGATTTCCAGAATAAACATGTTGGAAAAATTGGGAATCACAAGTTTTGAAAGGTTTTCAACCAACTTTGTTTCAAAATTGTCTATTTGAGTTCGCTTACAAATTGTTTCCATTGTAATCAAAAATTTCTGTTTCAGTAAGAACACATACATTTTCAAAAATTGCCCTGTTCAATGATAGGAGCAAGCTCCATAGGAATAAAAAAAGAATTGATAGTTTCGGTTGTTGTACCGATAATTCGTTTAATGAGGTTTGATAGAACTTCTGTAATTTTCTAAATCCGTTTTTGTCAGATGTAACTTTCGTATAAGTGCAACACGAATGCATCCCAAAAATAACTGTGCAACTTGTTTTAAAATTTTCTGTTTCAGGAATAGCATTTAGAAAGTTGATTACTGTTTTCATCGATTTGAGTTTAGGTGCCATAGTGAATCACGCTTTCTATCAAATTGAGGATATTCTTGTTCGAAGACATGGTTTTGTTCTGAAATTTGGAGCATTTTGTTATACCAATTAACTGGAAAATCATGATTTTTTGCTGGATATTTCCGCAAAGAAAATGACGCCGCGAGAAAAGTTACTGTTATGAGCCAAACGTTTGGTTGAGGTGTTCAGAATAAACATTTTGGGAGTCAAAAGTTTTGACACTGATAAGGGTTCTCAACCTACCTTATTTCTAATGTATTAACTTGAGATTGCTTACAAATATTTCTGTTTCAGCCAGAAGACATATATTTTCGACATTAGTCTTGATCCATTATGTGCCAGTCACATCTCATAGTCAGTACATTGAAACAAACTATTGACTATATTCAGTTGTATTACTGATAATTAGTTCAATGTGATTTGAATAGTTCTCAAATTCTGAAACTTTCGAAATACATTTTTGTTAGGTTTAATTCTAAAAATTCGAGTGTATTATAAAAGAACTATGGTTGTTTTTTTTCTGTTTCAGTGATGAAATTTACAATATTTAATACTATTTTCCTCGATTGCAACTTAGGTATGAATGACGATTTCTATCTTATTGAGGAAATTCCTGTCCGAATTCGTGTTTTTTTTCTTGAATTTCTATGTTGATATCATTCCCTAGATAATTTTCATTTGGAGAGGTACTTGAAACTATGCTCAGTCTGCGGAAAAAAATGATATCTTGAGAATAGTGAGCATAAATTTGAGTAGCAGATTTCCAGAATAAACATTTTGAGAGAAATTGGGAATCACCAGTTTTGAATATGATTTTTCAACCTACTTTACTTTGTAATTTTGGTATGAGTAAATATCAATCCTGTTTGTTGATCTTCCGTTTCAGTGATAACATTTAGAAAGTTCAATACTGTTTTTGTCGATTGCATTCCAATAATGCTACTGTGAACAACGCCATTGAGAATATTCTTGTCCGAAATCGTTGTTTTATTTTTTAATTTTGAGCATTTTGTCGCACCAATTAACTTGAATATCGTGGTTTTTGCGAGATGTTTTATTCAAACTGTCCAATTTAAAGTAATTTACAGAGATCTTGACATTATTCCCCGAATAATTTCCCTAGATAGAAGACTTTGAGACTTCCAGAGATTCTATAGCTAAATTTTTCATATGAAGAGATACTTGAGACAATGTCAAGTTTGTGCAAAAACAGTCGTGAGAAAAGTTTCTTCTGTGAGCCGAAATATGAGTAGCGTTTAGTTGAGATTCCGAGGATGAACATTTTGTGGAAACTTGGGAATCACAAGTTTCCATTGTGATAAGGGTTTTTCAAACTACTGTATTTCGAAATCTTCTTTTTGAGTTGGCTCACAAAATGTTTCAATTGAATTCAAAAATTTCAGTTTCAGTAAAAAGACATACGTTTACAAACATATTTTTATTAGGGGACATAGGAATACTTGTCAGATGTAACTTTGGTATGAGTGCATAGCAATTCGAATGTCTTTCATAAACAACAATGAGTCATGCTTTAAATTTTCTGTTTCATTTATAAGATTTATAAAGTTCAATACAGTTTCCGTCGTTGGAACTTGATGTAACGATTTCCCATGGAGGATATTCTTGCCCGAGTAGTTTATTTTTGTTTACTAACATGAACATTTTATTCTAACAATTGACTTGAAACACATACATTTTCCTATGTGTTTTCTCTAAGCTGTCCAAATGAATTAGTTCACAGAGATTTTGATATCATTCCCTAAATAATCTGAAGCCTGATGTTCACACTTGATTTTCTCGAAGTCATTTGATATTTCCCACGAACTTTTTTTCTCTGAAAAATCAGTTATCCCTTCTCTCTTCTCTCGTCACCAGTCTTGTTTTCTCACAATCACAAGAGTCCACACTTCTCACTCCTTGACGCATTCGGCAGCCCATTCATTCCTCTTTTTTGAGAATTTTCATCAAGTAGAAGGCATAGATTTCAGAAAAAAAATCCGCTCATTTTTCTCTTTGGTACATTAAAGTGAAATTTCTAATTTTATGTTTCCTGCCGTACCTTTCAAACTTTTCGAACCCAACTATAAATCTCCCAGACATCCTCCAACCCGAAAAAAAGCTCCAAAATGAGCACTCCGAGCCGCAATCGTGCTACCGTACCTCAAAGAGGATACGTGGCACAAGCTGCTGCTTCAGCTGCCATCGCAGTCCACCCACCTGTCCGATGCCGAGCTTCAACCAACAGTTACAGGGTGAGAATCTTTTTCATTTTTTTTTAAATTTCAGGTGATAGGAGAGAAATTGAAAATATAGAAAAAAGGAGCAAGATGTTTGACGCGATCCGCAGATATTCACAGGTAACAGTTGCCAGTTCGGTTAGCAATAATATCGGTTAAAAATTATAACAATCAGAAAAATCAGAAACAGTTAAAAAATTTGTAGGATAGGTTGTCAAAGATTTCAGGTACAAAAATATACAGTTTCAAACAATTCTTATTAAACTTTTCATTTATTTTTTGCTACTCTAGCTGCTTATCTACATCAAATCGTATCCGTTTCTATATCTCGAAGTATTTGCCAGAATACATGCATAATTTATAGTTTGAGTAGTCCCTAAACAGCAAGGTACAATGCTCGGTTTTCTTTTCGTTTACACCTGTGATTTTTTTCAAAAATAACACACTTCCGATTGACTCAGCAAGTCTCTCTTGAGAGAACGTGATAATTATCGAATGCGGTTTTTTTCGAGAGACTCGATACAATTGTAGTTATGTACTTTCAATTCTTTCAAATCCCTGAATGACTGAATTGTTAGAAGTGCATTGCTGATGAACCCCGTTTCGTAATTTTAACAAATTGAAAGGCTAAAAAAATTATTCTCGGTTTCAAGCAATTTTCTCATCTCTAGTTATTTTTTGTAGATATTTCCACTATCCCAGGCCATTCAAAATTATGAAAGTTGAAATTCAACTTTATTCAAAATATTCAGCTTATGGGGAATTCAGCATCCGAATTTCAGCTTAATAGGTGGTGTACGGTGAAACTTTCATTGCTCTGTTTTTTTTTCAAAAATTAATGTAGATTCTCATAAAAAATAGAACATTTCGTTTTCCGGGTTTTTTTTTCAATCTCCAACCGCTTTTTCTCAGAAAAATCAATTTTTTGACATTTCTGCGAAAAATAATGTTTTATAAGAAAACAATCAAATGATTCCTTAAGAAATTGGTTGGGAATCGACGAAAAAACTGAAAAATTCGAATATAAAGTTTTCGAGAGCTCAACGGGGACTAGTAAACTCACACTCGGCCACCAGTCACCGAATACCTCTTCGCTTTTATTATCCGGTTTTTCCTTTTCAGAAATTTATATTTTATTTTTTTCTCTATTTTCGAACCTACAGACTTTTTTTGTACCAACTGAAGCAATAAAAGTCACCAAACTTGAACATTATTCTCGGATTCAAACAAAATTTCTATTGTAAGTCATTCTTTTGTCATGATTTTAAAAAAACTTGATATAGTAAATTAGTATTATTTTTTTTAGAACTCTAACTAATTATAATATTCTGAAACACAAAGATTTATTTTTGAAAAATTTCAAATATCAAACAAAAGCTTCTCGGTTGAAACAATCTCGAAATTTCGATCCAGCTCCAAAACCCAATGACTCATCGTGTGAATGATCTGTTATGACATAATTTCTCATCCGGGAGCACTTCTCACATTTCACTCGAATTTCTCAGCAATCCATCTAAAAACGGCGATGATGAAAAACCAGCTGGTTTGGTTCTTTTTTGAGTGAGGAGCTGCGAAAATGCTCTTCAATAGAAGAATCGTATTACGTTTCGTGCATCTTATTATCCCCATCCTCCCATTCTTCCATTCCGACTCATCACTCACTCCCATTTTTCATTCCGTTTTCATGAACAAAAATGAAATGCAGTTCGGTTTTTTTCCTTTTGTGATCGAGGTTAGATACACATTTAATTATGTGTCTTCTTCATCTTCCAGACTCGTTATTTTTTCGAGAAAATTCTGGAAGTAGAGCCAGAGCCGTATAGTTGCAGATGCAGAATTGTATTGTATATAACAACAAAATCAAGTGATTTCAAATTCTGGAGAAGAATTTAATCTTTGAATCGAACATAAAAGGCATTTTCAATTCCTCAAAATGCAAAACTTTATGGAGCAGAACGAGTGCAGTTTTATGGTTTTTCGAAGGAACTGGAGAAATTTGAAGCTTGCATAAAAACAAACTTTTTTCTGTTTCAGAACCCGTTCTTCCTTTCAATTTTTTTTTGGAATCAATAGTTCTTTTAGAAAACCTTCTTTAAATAGTTACAGTAAGATTTGTTGACTTATTTTAGCTAAAGTAATTACTGTTAATCTATGCCGTAAAAAGAATAATTATACTTAAAGCTGGCGATTATAATTTTGATAATTAAAGCAATAAAACTACCGTAGGTTTCTGGAGATTTACATGAAGGTAATTGAGACCCAGAGCATTTAGTAAAGCCATTTGAAAAGCTAACGGCTTTAATACACCGCTTTTCTCAAGTTTTTTAGAATTTTCCGTTAAATGCCGTTAAAAGCGAAAAATTTTCAAAAAAAAGTTGCTAGGAGGGACGAGGATTTGAATTCTCTTNAATCATTTCTGCTTCTATTATCACAACTTTANACGTCATCAACATTCACTTGGGAACTCTTGGGAAAACAAAATAATACAAAATAAGTGAGTTATTTTGCATCTATATTTCGTCACATTGATGCTCTAAGTGCTGAGTGAGTCTTATCACTGGGAGGAAAGAAGGATATGATCAACTCACAATACGAAAAAAAATGAAAGGAAGTGGAGAAAAAAAGATGTCTAGGACAGCTGATTTTTAAGTTTTGAATATTTTATCGAGAAAACCGTTT